GCCCCAGTAGCCCCCCACCCCCGAGCCTCACCGACCCGGTTTTGGGACCTCCAAAGACTCCAAACCCCTCAGTTTCATGGATCTGCCCCATTTTTTCCTTCTCTGACACCCCGAAACCCACCGGCAGGTTGATGAAGCCGCCCATTGGGCTGCTCCCTTCTCTTTTATTACCTTCAGGGCTGCTTTTCTTTATCTTTTTAATCACTTTTTCTCTTGTTTTACCTCCTTCTCCTTGCTCAGGGGTTCAGCTCTCAGCCAGGTTCCATTTTCTCTCCGTCCCCACCAGTGATGGGGTTTTTTTTTAGGTTTTCTATAGAGATTTGGGGTCAAATATCCATCCTTGGTCAGATGGATCCGGGATCGTTTGGGTTAACAGGGTCGTGGAGTTTATTTTGGGGAATTATGGATTCATGGAGGGGTCAGGGCGGGGTTGGGGGATCCTGACACTCACCTGCACCCCAAAAGTCTTCAGACAAGAGCTTGCGGGTGACCATCGGAGCTTTCGAGCGGCTGCACCGGCTGCTGCGGGAGCGGCAGAAGGTGATGCTGGAGGTGCTGGAGGCGGACACGGCGCGGACGTTGACCGACATCGAGCAGAAGATCCAACGCTACAGCCAGCAGCTCCGGAAGGTGCAGGAGGGCAGCCAGATCCTCCAGGAACGCTTGGCTGAAGCCAACAAACACATCTTTTTAGCCGGCATCGCTTCCCTTTCCGAGAGGTAGGTGACACTGAGGTGACTCTGGGATCTCCCGCGTCCATTCCCCGCTTCTCCATCACTTCCTCTTTGTAGGCTGAAGGGGAAGATCCATGAGACCAACCTGACCTACGAGGACTTTCCCACCTCCAAATACATGGGGCCGCTGCAGTACACCATCTGGAAATCCCTTTTCCAGGACATCCATCCCGGTGAGCGGCGCGGGGATGGGCTGGCTGCAGGATCGGAGGGTGTTCGGGTGAGGGAAGGGAACGGGGACGTCACTGGTGAGGGAAGGGGTCCCTCTGGTGAAGGAAAGGGTCTGATCAGTGAGGGGTGGGGGCATCAGTGGTGAGAGATGGGGACGGGGACATCACTGGTGAGGGACAGGGACATCTCTGGCAAGGGACGGGGATGGGGATGCACTGGTGAGTGACGGGGACCCGCTGGTGACCTCCACACCACCGTGGTTT